CTTATGCTACGAGATCCACAATATTATCCTATTAATGCCACTTTTATTAAAAAAATTTTTTTTCGCATGCACAAGTAAAATCAGGTTTAAAGATAAACTCGGCAGATTTATGTACGCGTTTCGCGACTTTAACGAAACTCGACGAGTAAAAAAAAAAGCGAAGCAGCGAAAGTGGAAGCTAAGTGAAAACTATTACACGTGAGGTTTGGAATTTAATATTAAAACTTATAATATATGATCCCGGCAACGAGAGAATCGATCAGAAGTTAACAGATTGAATTTTACAACTCGACGCGACAACATAACACCTTGCATTACGGCTGCAACGACTTAGCTTTCGTAACATCGTCGAAATTATCCACGGGAGAACGGTAGTATGTAAGACGTAATATCCTCCTTCCCCCCTTACAATTTTTTTGTTGTTGCTCGATTCCTTCTTACATGTCGTTGTTCCCGTGTAGCCTTTCAAGTAACGCAACCTTTAACCTTTGTTATCTTTTTGGCTTGTCCGAACACCCATTCCCCCTTGCAACCCGATAATAAACGCGCAAGCCGTTAACAAGATATAAATCTTGTCGCGTTACGATGTAAAGCCGCTCATTTTAAATAACCGTAACGGAGTAGCGTGCGCGAAATATAACCATTACCCTGTAAAACAAATGTATAAAGAATACTTGTTTTATTTTATATCGCTCAACCCCCTCTCTTGACGTCACAGATATGTAAACAGACGATCAGAATGCGACGATGCGCGGTTCAACTTACGCACGTGAGAAAAACACGAGGAAAAGTAATTCTGACAAGTCAAACTAACGAGATTGTATCTCGATCTGTGATATCTCGGCAATTATCGTAAGATGAAAAAGAGTCGCGCGGGAGATATCCCTCCCAAATTAGGCGTTATACACGGGGCGACGTAATGTGTACTTAACGTACGCTCGCATTACGAGCCGCGTTTTTTGCCCTTCTTCGTACGCTATCGCGCCGCGTTAATTGTAAGTTCGGAACATATCTCGACCGCGCTAAGAAACGCGCATTCCGGTTTTCGTCGAAGACGAAAGAGATCGGTGGAACTCCCCGCGATGGTATACCGCGGCGAGGGACTTTTTCTCTCGTTGTTCCGCTCCTCTCTCCGTCCGCGGACGCAGATGCGCGAATGTAGGGTGTGGTGGGCAGGCTGTCGCCCCGCCACTACTCTACTGGTTCTCTCTCTCTCTCTCTCTCTCTCTCTTTCTTTCGTTCCTCTCTTCCTATCTCTCTGTCTCTTTTTATATATCCCAGGGCAAGAATGTTCCCGTGTTGGTTCGATTAATCAGTCGTTTTTCGTGTCCCCGTTCTGGGCCAATAGAGGGAGAAAAACTTAACGTATGTGATAATGCGCCAGCTATGCTACCCGCTCGCCGTTCCGCTGGAACGTAGGTCGTGCCTGCATATAGGTATACCGAAACGAGTCGAGAGACGACGACGACGAAGACGACGACGATGACGATGGTGCACTGAACCCGCCAGCGGCTTCGCTCCGCTCCGCTCCGCACCGGGGTGCTGTCCCGCGAGGGACTCAAACTTTTTTCCCGGCAACAGCTCCGAGGATACGTAACCATCGTTCGGATCACTCGATTTGTTCATCGACAAAAGCGTATACTCTTCGCCGAGCCAAACTTTCATTTGTCCCGCCGAGACAGAAATTATGGTCCAGATTTTTTGACAGCTGGAGTGAATTTCGTAGATTTGAACGATAAAAGACGCGACGCGTCGAGAATTTTCGTCGATGGGAAAATTATGCGAATCGCGTTATGTAGGTACCGTTGCCCGCGATTATAATTCAAACGGCACTTTCGACGCGCTCACCATCGATTTAACGTAATATTTCACGACTTACTGGATTCGGAAGCTTTTCACTCGTGATCCGAATTAAAGTTCCATCGAGTATGACTTACGACGTACGAACGGCACTACCGTCTCCTCTGTAAAAAAGTTTCGCTTTATTCGAGTTCCGTTCGCTAATGCGAAAATAGTATTTGTTAACGTTCGCTTCCACCTTGCTCACTTGTGACTCGCTGCAAACACTGCTTCTCAAACTTAGCACAACGAGAATTTAAAACGAGAAATGCTTTATGAGATAAAACATGAAACTATTTTCACAAAATAACAGAGAGAAACGACAAGTCGATATAACGAAGTAGAAAAATATTTTAATAGATTCAATTTAGTGATATATACTATATAAAAAATATAATGTAAAAATGCCTCTTTTTAAACTTCTCTTTTTGTTAATGAAAAATTTTAACATTTTGTTTAATTTAAATTATGATTACAAACTTTATATATAATAACTTTATAATACAAGCTTGACGGTATTGAAAAACGTAGTTAAAACATTAACGTACGAATAATGCTATTTGTCGACGAAATTTTAAAAATTCAGGTCTTGGTCCATCTCAATCAGCTGTCCATCATTCCGGAATTACTTTACACACATGCATAACAAAGTGTCTAATATCATCGATTAAAAAGAAAGACGTTAGTTATTTGAGCGAAATTCAACTACTCGCGTTCCTTATCAGCGTTGTTGAAAACTAGCGGGCGCGCGAGCCCGATCAGAAAGCGGACCATCGCAATGCCCGGGATAGACATTTCGCACAGCCGGTGTATCCAAAGTTTAACTTTACACCGAGGGGTAGAGAGAGGGAGCGCCCGTTCGACGTGATCGCACCATGTGTGTGAGTCTCTGCCCCCGGTCCACGTATTATGACTAGTGTCGTAGAGCACGTTTGCGGTCCCTCGTTGCGCGAGAGAACCGGAGAAAGCATCCCCGCGTGATTCTCTTGGCGACCTTAGCGACACATGGCGCGACGAAGGCGGATGAGAGGCGGCTCCGCTTCGCTTCGGAATCTTTCCAACTCGTTCGTCCTATCTCGCGAAATACGGGAAACACACCCGCGTGAGAAATTTCTTCTCTAATATCGTATCGGGGAAGATTTGTGGCAGACGGAGAAAAGTCTCCCCCCGATTGTATTTCCGGCTGAAAATGTCTCTTATCATATATATTTCTCGCGAGGAAATATTTGCGAGAAGTCTCGAAACGATAATATCTCACGTTACGATATCGGAGTAAACATTTGCATTCCGCCTGCACGGCCGGCAAGTTCGGAGCGGGTTCGCGTTAATAAAATCTCAACACCTGGCAGGTTTCATTGGCCACATTACGAGCACAAATCTCGAGACGCACCCTTTAATTTCCCGCACGCGATGAGGAGGATAAACGGGATTGACTATAATGACCGTTAACTTACTGCTAGGTGGTTATAAGTACACACGCGCGCGCGCGCTCCAATGTTATATGTGTGCTTAAGTAACACGGCTAATTATGACAGGTCGAGTTGACACTCCGCAATGCGTGGTTCTAACTCAATTTCTCTCTGGTGTTACGTAATTGAAAAATTAATAACTAATATAATCAAGATAAAAATTTATGGCGCGACTCATCTAACCGATTATTTCATTCAGCGATAATTATATGAAAAAAAAAAGATTATGTAAAGAAATTATTTATCGCTCTTTGTATATACAAACAAAATATATATTCGATTCACAATTTGCCGATCCTATTGATAAAAGCACCGCGATAAAATTTGAATTCTAATAAAATTATCGTGTTGTTCACCTCCTCCCCCTCATCACTTTTACGTACGTTTGCGTGCCATGACGATAGCGTGGAGGAAAGGCAGACGAGAGTGAAAGAGCGATTTGGTGACATCAAAGTTTAATAAGCGCCATAAGCCGATCCAACCTGCGGTACGCGCGGCTAAAACTCGTCGAGCAATAAAAGCAGTAATAAAGCGTTCGTCTTTCTCACGTTCCACCACGCGGGTGGAGGAAGGAGATAGGGTGGCAAGAGAAAGAGAGAGAGAGAGAGAGAGAGAGAGAGAGGGAAGGTAAAGAAACCATAGCACGCTCGCTGGCTCGCTCGCACGGTGGTTAGCCCAAAGGTTAGAAGGGCGGGAACGCATTAGCGGTGGAAGGTGGCGGGCGCTCATAGAGACGTCCGGTCGCCCAATTACTCCCGCATTAAATCAATGTTCCTCCACCCCCGATCCCCGACCATACCGCCATCCCGGTAATAAACCGTGGCCGACATATCTGCACGACTTACGGGCTCATCCCTCCGTTGTCGCTCACGACCCTCGACTCGCCCCCGCTTGGCCCGGGGAGACGACTTCGTCGCCGGAATGCGCGTTCTGTCGTAATATTTGGCTTTAAATCATGTCGCGTTGACAGGCCCCACTTTCGCGCGCGTTTCCTTCTGATTCATCAGTTCTCGCTGGCCGCGAACTCGATCCCTCGATGTCGACGTCTGTTGGGGTTCGTGACTTTCTACCGCGAGCTACATCGAAGATAACGCGATGCTAGGAGTTTCGGTGCTTAAAAGTTTAATCACGACAAAAATCTAATTTAAAATTCTCGCCTATTCAATATATATATGTGTGTGTGCAACCGCCGATCGGTCTATTTTGATGGATAAAGTTTATAAATTTTATTTTATTTTATTTTATTTTATTTTTTTGTCAAATTTATGGCATTCAACGAAGAAGAATAGAAAGGAGGGCCCGGAGTCGGAACGTGGCACCATTCAACCGCAAGATTAGGTTCGCGCGCAATTTACGACGGCTAAGATCTTATTTCTAGCCGAGCTTTCATATAAAAGCTTTTTCCTGTAAGCTGCGACACGGGATTTGGATTCCGGAGTTGAGTATAAGAGGGGCAATGCTGATCGCGCACCGCGACGAATTAGTAATACTTATACAAGTGTCAACTTTGACTGGATTTGCTAGAGAACGATATCGCGAAACGACACACATCTGACTTGAAAAAATCCGAATCACAAAGAAAGAAATTGCTATTAAATTTTAAGAAAAATTATTATCTTAAAAAAAAAATTAGTTGACGAGATCGATATTATAATGTAGAAATAAACTTAAAAAAATTATTTCTGTTTCCAGATATCGAGATGATGCGCTCTGCTGGACGGAGAGGTAAGAAATTTTATTATATATATATTCGTACCGTATATGTGTGTGTCATTTATGTATTTTTGCTTATCGGTGTAAATTAATGAACGAAAGCTCACAATCCTTATACATTTATTGATAAGCGGGCGGTATGCGTTACGCGTCGGAAAAAACGATCTAATAATACAAGGCGAAGTTACACGGAAAGGAACAGGTAACTTTCGATAAACGGAGGCTAAGGATATAAAAGATCCGGCGAGGTGATTGATACAGAGAGATCGACGTCGCGACGCAATTCCATTGTTCAAAGCGAGCGCTGCGGCGCGCACGCAGAAGCAACGAGCGAGAGGCATCGAGGTCTGGCACGAGGTTCTTACCTAAGGATATAAATCAACTCTCGAGTGACGAACGAACAGAGCCGGCACACGAGGCCGTTTCACGGACCACCGTACATATATAAACGCACACACGCGTGTACGCATACTGGACCGGGCGTACGAAAACGGTGACTTCTAAACGAAATACACTTTGCTACTCGTTTTAAATTTACGTTCCCTTCAAAGAGAAACGATATTATTCTAAAAATCCGTCCGCGAAATTAAAAAAAAAAATTATTTAACATAAAACCACAGCAACGAGAAGATGTTAATATCTTATGATAGTATTTATCGCGATCCACGAGTATGATCGTATCCGAAAAACGTATCCGAGGACAAACTATTATGCATAATCACGTTGCGCGAAGAGAAGTATATATAATTAATGACGGCGAGAGCCGAACGCGTGGTATCGCTGTAATTAACTCTAAGCGATTTCACACTAATTGCAAACAACATAACACAATTAATAACACGTTATCGCGTCTGTGCATTCTCCTTCTCTGTCCCTCGCGAATTTTCAACATGTCACTCGTAATCATCCTGTATGAAAAATCTCGCGCCGTCATTCGAACGCGTTGAAATTAATGAAGCATCTCCGCCGCATTATGCATCATTACCGAGATATCGTACTTGTATTGTGTATAAATTAATATCAGTGAATAGAGGGTGATATCGAGAAACATGTAGAAAATATTATCTCGACTAGCGTACGGCGATCATTTGAGAAAAAAAGAGCATTCTTTTCGTGATATAAATTATATTTTAAGCCGACGATTATTAAGCAGGAGCGATTGATCAATAAAGAAAAGAAGCACTATGGTGAAAAATGCATAAGGGTTATCTGCGAAACTCGTCCGCAGCAGGTTGATAATTATTGAAGTATCGATTAAATGCTCCGTTCGCCTTGATTGATCAGCATTTATATCGTGGGTACATCCACCTCGCGTCGGTTCCCTACAATTTTAAACCGGGTGCCCCATCCTACCCGAGTGTCCATCGCGGGCTCTTAAGCCCGTAATGTGCCCGTTTTCGTTCCTACTAACAGCGTTGTTAAGAGAGAGAACGAAATGTTAATTATATTATTCATAATCGCCAACGTAAGATTATCCGGCGTTTC